AGCCACCTCGCTCACACCTGGGGAGGGGACATGACAGCCACCTCGCTCACACCTGGGGGGGATAGAGACAGCCACCTCCCTCACACCTGGGGAGGGATGAGACAGCCACCTCCCTCACACTGGCAGCAGCGAATCCTGCCCTGGTTTCCACAGCTGGTCAAGGGCACCTGGGGCTCATTTCAGGACTCTGAGCCAGAGACCCAGCTATGGGTTCACGCTGTGGCCTCTGTCCTGACCACAATGTCATTAGGACCCAAGCCGATGTCACTGAACATCCCCACAAGAACCAGGTAGGGCACACATGTGGCCTCGTTGTCTTTAACAGACACGGTCAGCCTCCTGTCTCCGTCCACCCGGCTGTTACAACATATTACGGGGCGGGGCGGGGGAGCTTAAAAAACAAAGCAGGGGCCCGCAGGTGGTGTGGTGCTTAAGGTGCCGGACTCCCATGTGGCTGACTATGGTTCAAGGCCCAGACCAGAAGCTTAAAACTCACGCCAGGCGTGTGTGCATGCAAGCCCCAAATCTTGAGAAGAGAGTGGAGGAGAAGGGATTGCAGCATGGCCATCCCCCAGGGGTGATTTCTCGCTTTGTCTCTGTCTCTCTCTCTGGTGAGCACACAGGCCCTATGACAAAGCCTTAAAAAAACAACAAAAGAAAAGTCCTCATAGTTCTGAGACTGGGTGGGAAATCCGAGATCGAGGCGGGGGCCGTTTGGTGTCTGGGAGGACCCATTTCTGGCTCACAGGCGAGGCCTTCTGAGCAGGCGGCTACCTGGTGGAAGGCGGGAGAGCTCTCTCGGGACGCTGCTGTAATCCACGCCCCGACCTCATCACCCCGAGGCCCCGTGCCCGAGCACCTGGGGCTCACACTCGGTGTAGGAATTTGGAGGGCAGCCGTTCAGAGCAGAGTGCTCCCACCCCCTAGTTCACCCAGAAAGGACGCCCCACCGCGGATGGGAAGCCGCCGGTCCTACCACAGCTCCTGCAGGCTGCAGGCGGGGTGCGTCAGCGCCGCACACAGAGTCAGCGCCCCGCCACCCTCCAGGCAGTTCAGACTCAGATCGAGCAGGGACAGCGACTGGGCGCACAGCAGGGCACGGGAGATGTGAGCACAGGAGGCAGCGGTGAGGCCGCAGCCGGACAGCCTGCCAAGACACACAGACACCGGTCGGGCGTCCAGCTGCGCTCAGCGCCGAACGCCGTTGCGACGCCACCGCAAGGCTTGCGGCTGTTCCTCGCATCGCTCTCGCTCGAAGATGATAGCAGGGGCCGCGCAACGGCAGCAGCAGCGCCGATGGCCGATGCGGAACAGAGCAGCGCGCCAAGGGCTGGCGCCCCCTGCTGGACACCCTGGACACAGCCCCACCGTGCAGCGGGCCCTCCGGCTCAGGGGCTGACCCACAAGGCCCTGCGCGATTTCCCTGTTATGACAACTGGTTTTCTGGGGTTGATGCCTGTGCTGTTGCCTTTCTGTTCTCCCAGGGACTTGGGTGTCAGCAGGTACGCCCCGTTTTAGATACCGCAGCCCTCCCTGTGACTTCACACGCGGTTTCCAGCGTGACCTCCTGACCTCGCTGGAAAAACAGACCCTGCTTTCCTGCCCTGCGGGTGGCTGGAGGGGGCAGCTCCCTCTGGACACCAGGAACAAGCCCGGGGGAGCCACGAGCGAGCCCTGTAACTGAGGGGCCCACGCGACCATCTTTCTTCCCATGCACCCCACCCGGCACCCTCGCCGTGATGGCTGAGGCTGGAGGGCCCCAGGTGACGGGGCACTGAGGCCGCGTCTCCTGCATCGGGCCCGGGGTTCCTCGGTGTGCGAGCTCCATTCACCAATGAGCTGGCCCGAGTCCGAGGACAGGCCGCCCTCTGCCCAGCCCTCGGTGGGCGTCCCTGGCCGGCTCGGGAATCGACCTCGCGCACCTCCCTGAGGCCGACTCACACCAGGGACTGCAGGGCACAGCCTGGGCGCTCCAGGGCCCCACACAGCACGGTCACGCCTTGGTCCTTCACGGGGTTTTCCGCCAGGGAGAGGTGCTTCAGCCTGTCGCTGCAGGCGAGGACAGGGGCGAGGTCGTCACAGCCTTCTTCTGTGATGTCGCACTTCCCCAGCCTACACGGGACACAGCGCGCGTGACCACAGGCTCCCGGAGCCCACACAGCCCCACCCCGCCACGCCCCCGTGACACCCCAGCCCTCCAGGACACACGCTCCACCACTGCCCTCTCCGCGGCAGCCAACGGAGGGGCAGGCCCGGCGTTCTCCACCTGGACTCCGGAAATGCCCGCGCACGCTGTCCAGACTGGGGCTAGCTCTGTCACCCTGACGGTGTATTTGTCAACTGCGCTGTAAGAGACGGGAGGGGCCGGCAGGTGGCCAGATGGCTAAGACGCCGACGCCTACACCGGCCGGGCTAGCCCAGGCCTGGCGGGTTTCTCACGTGCCCTATAGCGCACGTGCCCTATAGCAAACGGATCAAAATGATAAATAATAACAAATAAAATGATAATAATGATTAAATGAATAAATGTAACTCTTTATCAAACAAACAGAGAGGGGGGAAACAAAGCTTTTGTTGTGTTTCGTGTTTTTAGAGATTTTTGCTATAGGGTATATACACTCGTCAGAGAGACAGAGAGAGAAGGGGAAGCAGAAGGCAAGAAATCACTCCCCAGCCTCCAAGGGATGGCCACACCACAATCCCTTCTCCATTCCCCTCTCGGGATTTGGGGCATGATGTACATGAACCCAGTGTGCGTGTCAAGCGGCCTGGCCCAGGACTGAGGACGTGGCCGACCACGTGGGAGTCCAGCACCTCCACCGTGCCGCCTGCTGGCCCTGGGACAGAGCTGTTTCTACCACGCTCATGCTCAGCACCGCGCGCCTCTGTGGCCAGACGTGGGCGAGGAGAGCTTCCCCGCCGCCACGCTGGCTCCATCGTCACCAGCTGTGTCCGGCAGTGTGGCTCGGACCTGGCACTGCCCGTCTGCTGCGAGGCCAGGCCCACGGGCGGAGCGTCCCGGCCAGCAGGCCCTCCCTGCAGACGCTGGTCACAGCCTGCGGGGACGCCTGTGCTCTGGGCCAGCGAGCCAGACCCGGTGTCCCCGACCCTCTGAGTGCCACTCATCGCCCAGACTGCCAGGACAGCCATTCTCTGTCGGCCACTGCACCTGCACCCACGGTCGAGGTGCGGCGCCACAACACACGCGACCCCACCAGTGTCTGACACGGCCCCGTCCCTGCTCAGGCACCCTGGCGTCCGCAGAGGGCCAGCGAGACGGCCGAAGCCCCCGGGCCCGTTACTGAAGAGCACACCATCAACGGCACCACACGGTCCTGGGAGCTCCGTCCCGCCTGGTCCTCCCTCCGACGGGCACCCACGTCCCCACGGTCTCCCCTCTTCTGCTCATGCTGCCGTCAGCGCTGTGTATTTAGGCGGCAGCCGGCAGTGACGGGAGTGACCACCGTCCACGGAGGCTCGGATCCCCAGGGGTGGCTGAAAGCGCCGGTGCACAGGCTGGCATCTGGGATGCTGAGGAGCTGCAGGGCGCGGGGGCGGGACGCAGCGTCATGGGGCACATCGAGGGTGCGCCTCTCTCAGCACCTTTTACATACACGTATAAAGTGGGTTTCTGGGATCCCTGAGGATATCTCTATCTGGGGACCAGCAGTTAGCGGAACGGCTATGTCACTGGACTCCCATGTAGGTGACCGCAGTTCGAGTCCTGGACACAGTGGTTTAAACTCACACCGGGTGCGTGTGCGTGCGTGCCCAAGATCCCAAGAGGAGAATGGACGAGAAGGGATTGTGGCGTGACCATCCCCCCTGGGGGATGACTTCTGGCTCTCTGTCTCTCTGTCTCTCTGTCTGGCGAGTGCACACGCCCTATAGCGAAAACCTCTCCAAAAAAAGAAAAAACAACCTCTATCTGGTAGCTGACAAAATTCAGTAGGGAGATTCTTCTACCTTTGCATGTACAAAAAAAAAATTATTTTCGATACATTTGCTATAGGGTGCATGGGACCAGCAGTTGGCGTGATGGCTACAGGATGCATGCGCTTGCTGGAGAGACAGAGACAGAGAGACAGAAGGCAAGCAGTCACTCACAAGGGAGATGGCCACGCCGCAATCCCTTCTCCTCCACCCTCGTCTCAGGATCTTAGGCACGCATGCACACGTGCATGGCATGAGTTTAAGCCTCCAGGTCTGGGACTCAAACTGCGGTCGACTATGGGGGAGTCCAACAACATAACCATTACGCCATATGCTGGTCCCGATAATACACACTTTCCGTCAGTGTTTTGAAGACCCCATGGGTAAGCCTGCCTGTTATGTCTGCGGTCACTGCGAGTAAGAGCCGTGAGCCCGGGAGGC